AAACCAATTTGACAATAAATTTCATAAATAAATAAATAAATAAATAAATAAATAAATAAATAAATACATAAATAAAACAGTCATAAGAGAATTCCTTGGACTACTAACAAATTTCTACTAAGAAATGTGATTCTACCTCTTAAAAATAAGTTCACAGTTTTGTAAGTCCACTTAGCAATTCTGAGTGGAGCAAGGCATACCTGTAAGAATAATCCAAGCCTAGGAATATTTGCCTGCTCAAATATTTGTGAGTCTCCATTAAAAAACAAACAAACAAACAAACAAAAAACTCCAGTGAGTGGAGTGTAGGAGGAAGGCATGGGAGAAGGGCTATGCTGCAGCAACAGTATAGCTGACAATGTGGAGTCAGATACACAAAACAGACTGAAAAGCTTCCACCATTACTGAGAAAAGGAGACTGGGTCTTCCCTCCATGAAACAGGAGCTCATATAATATAGAATCAACTAATCTAAAAGGTAGAAGAGACTCAAGGGTTCATTCAACCCTTTCATTTCAAAGATGGGGAAGCCAAAATCCAGAAAGTGGGAGACTTCCCAAGGTCCCCAAGTAAGGAAGTGGTAGAGACAGGCTTGAGACTCAGGGCTCTTGACTCTCATGGTGCCGTTCATTCTTCTAGTACACACTCCTGTGACTGGAAAGGCAATGTGCTGCTTTTGGCCAAAGGGTCTCAAATACTATCTGTTCCTTGTCATTATCACTCTTAAATGGTGCTTAACAGATTTCAGAGTGTTTTCTCACACGCCATCTTATTTGAGCCCATAGATAGGCAGAGCAGGTGTTATCTTGGAGAGGTTAAATGTCTTCAGGTAGCACAGCCAGTACAAGCACAGTACTCAGCAAGTAGCACAGATAACATCAGAATTCAGATCTCTTTCACTTCCAGTTCTGATGTTAGACGTGATCTCTGCTACACCTGCCTTGCTACTCCTTTGGTCACACTAGGCAGTCATAAGTCTTTTAAAAAGGAAAAAAACCCACTATTTAGATTAATTAAAATAATTGCCAAGTTGAATATTTTTATTACATGCTTTTTGCTCAAACCTTGGCGAATGCCAGAGTTCAGTTCAGCAGGGAAAAAATTCAAGTAGTTTCACACGACAAGTATAATAATACATTTTTAAATCATATAAAATATTTTCTAAAGAAATTCAATTTACACACAATTTTATAGAAAAACACATCTTGAACAAAGAAAGGTAGACTCAACTATTTTACCTATGCACTGCTTAAATATACTTGTCTGTCTAAACTATGAGTGGCAATCATTAGAAAATCTTGAGACATGACAGGAAGACTTATTTATTAAATTTACACTACCACTGAACAATGAATGCTTCACTCTCAGGAAAACTGCATTTAAACCAGGCTGTCTGCCACCTTTGCTCTCATTTCCCATGAAGAAACAATATTTCAGAAAAAAACAATTGCATATATTGGTTTCTATCTGCAAGTACACATACCTCGCATTTTTGAAGTCAGTGAAATTATTCCTTTCAAGAATGCTTTTTCCAACAGTTACCATGTTCTCAACTATAAAACAGAAAAGAAATGACATTACACAGCAGGAGACATTACTAAGTTGTAATTAATATTAATTTTTAGGGTCCCAGTCAAAAGTTGTATCAAATGGGTAAACATTTAAACCACCTGTTTAACAGTTTTACGTTACTGAGAAGTTTGCCCATCAGCACTGAAATGAAGGTTCAACCTATCACAAAGCGTCATGTATAGGTTCACTTTGAACAGCTGTTAAGGGGTACTATCAAGTGACTACTTAGGACATCTGATCCTACTGAAGTCTAATTCAAATCATAAGGAGACCAAGTGATAAAAAAAATACTTGAATTAAGAAAAGACACACGGGAAAACTTTGAATTTGTCTTTCAGTCAAAATTAGAGATATGATAGCACTTTGTGTCAGGCCACCTTTGACTAGCTAAATGTTTGTATAATTGTTTTGGCTGCCAAACTCTCTCTGCCTTACTGTATTTATTATCTTGGTCCTTTATGGCCTTTGGATGGAAATATGCTTCCCATGAGAAAAAATTTGGTAACCTGCAATGTCCAAAGCACAATGCCAAGCTTTAGACCCCTTTTATTTCTGAATGGTGTAGTCAAGTATTTAGAAGAGGAAGAAATGAGAATCTACAGAAGATGGTTATCATAAAGAGGATTATAAAATTATTGCTAATTTTTCTTCTCTAAGTCAGGCTTGAGCCAGGAGGATGACAGTAGCATATCATCCAAAAAAGCTCATTACTTCAAGCAAGATTGTATCTTGTTTTCTTTTAAAATATTCCCAAGATCCTAGACATGGGGGTAAAGAATGTTTTTTTTTTTCTTTTAATTGCTTTAAAGCAATGCTTTTAACAGTACCATATTATAAAGTGTGTAGATGTAATATATATGACAACAATAACACAAGTGTTGCAGAGTTACATTTTTCATGAATTGCTACAATGTGAAGTCTAAGTAGACTGTGATAATTACACAATGTATATTTTAATCTCTCTAGAGCAACAATTTTTTTTTTAATATGAAGAGGAATACATGAAAAGGCACGAGATAAATTACAGTGGAATTATAAAAAAATATATATATATATATATATATATATATCTGATCAACCACAAGAAGGAAGGAAAGAAACAGTGCAATAACAAAAAATGGGGCATAAAGCACCTGGGTAGCTCTGTTGGTTAAGGGTTCAACTCTTGATTTTGACTCAGGTCATGATCTCATAGTCATGGGATCCAGCCCCGTGGCAGGCTCCATGCTGAGTGTGGAGCCTGCTTGGAATTCTCTCTCTCTCTCTGCCCCTCCCCAGCTCATGCTCTCTCTCTTTCAAAATAAATACATTTTTTAAAAAATGGGACAAACAGAAAACAAATGGCAAGACAGTAGACCTAAACTGAACTGTATCAATAGTTACATTAAACATTTATGAACTAAACAATTAAAAGTCAGATTTTCACATTAAATTTAAAATATAATTATAAATAAGCAAGACCCAAGTCTATTGCTATCTTCAAGTATTTAAATATTAATATTCAATTGGTTGAAAGTATAGAAAAAGATACCCAATGTGAACAATAAGAAAGTTAAAGTAGCTAAATTAATATCATACAAAATAGACTCAAGAAGTATTCCCAGAGATCAACAGGGACATTTTACAATGATAAAAAAGGCTCAATTCATTGAGAAGGCATGACAATCATTAATTATGTATTCACTTAAAATCAAACTCAAAATACATGGAGTAAAACCTATTGTCTCCTTTCCATTTCACTGTTACGTCCTCTGTCTTTCGTTATACTTGGTTTTGACTGATTCACCTTTCTAGCATCCTAAGGCAGAAACTTAGGCTATTGGTTTTAAACCTCATTTTCTAACATAAACACAGACAGCTATAAATTTCCCTGTAGGCATTGTTTTGGCAAATTCCACAAATCTTGATATGTTGGATTTTTGTTACCAATCAATTCAATATTGTTTTCTTTGACCTATTTATTTAGAAATTACTTAAAAGTATGTTAATTTAAAAATACTTAGTGCTATTCTAGATTTTATTATTTTTCTACTTTAATTCCATTGTCATCTGAGAACAGATGTTACAAGATTTCAATCATTTGAAATGTATTTAGACTTAGTTGACTGCCCAGAATATGGCCTACCTTGGTGAACATGTGGTCTCAACAAATTGTGTATTCTATAGTTAAGTGGAGTTCTATAAATATCAGTTATAATCACAGTGCTTATGACAGTGTTATTGAACTCTTCCATATGCTTATTATTTTCCCAACTTTATAAACTGTATAAAAATATTAATTGCAAGACCTTTTTTTTTTTTTTTTTTTTTTAAGTTTATTTACTTTGAACGAGAGAGAGAGCAAGCTGGGGAGAGCCGGAGAGAGGGGGAGGGACCTAATCCCAAGCAGGCTCCACACTGCCAGCATGGAGCTCGATCTCACAAACCACAAGATCATGACCTCAGCTGAAATCCAGAGTGGGATGCTTAACAGACTGAGCAACCTAGCACCCTGAAAGAACTTTTAAACTTTTATTATGAAACTATTAAAATATAAACAAAATCAGAAAGAACAGTGTAATGAAACCTCAAACACCTACCATGCTGCTTCAAAATTGGTAACATTTTATTTGCAACAATTATAACAACTTTCAATAAAATAGAAGAAATATTAGAAAAAGAAAACCAAGCATGAACATATATTTCGCTCCTTAAAAACAGTATGAAAAGGAAATACTTAAGGCATGGTAGCTGTTGCTTGATACTAAATATTGCATATATATTGGCCTTTACCTGCTGGAATGAGTATGAAATATACTCATAGAACTTAAGATGACTAAGGCATTTGGCAATATGGAGAAGAAACAATTTAAAAACGGGTAATTCAGTAGTCTAAACACTAATGAAGTACACATCAAAGTTTTCCCTCAAAGATATTTCTTATTCACCTTCAAAAAAAATCTGGCCCAGGGGTGCCTAGTGACTCAGTCAGTTGAGCATCTACTTCAGCTCAAGTCATGATCTTGTAGTTCATGAGTTCAAGCCTCACATCAGGCTCTGTGCTGACAGCTCAGAGCCTGGAGCCTGCTTCAGATTCTGTATCTCTCTTTCTCTCTCTGCTGCCCCTCCCCTGCTTTCTCTCTCTCTCTCTCTCTCTCTCTTTTTCTCAAAAATAAATAAACATTTAAAAAAATTAAAAAACAAACAAAAAAAACACCAAAATAATCTGGCCCAATTTATCTATTTTATTGGCTACTTAATTTACTGACCAAACTAATCCCAGACCCTGTTGGCAAAGGCTATCAAAACATATATGAAGTGAACTTAGAAATGTCTTAGTAAATGATAACTGGTAACTCACAGAAATCATGAGTAGGAAAATACAGGATAATCCTACAAGGACAAGATTCAAAATCTTCTTTTCAGAAGTGAAAAATTCATTGCGAAACTTCATTACTAAATTTTGGTGTCATCTACACCAGAAGCTTACAAGGGAGGTACCAATATGGTCTCACTCCCAGGCAATATGAGCTTCTAGGCCATATCACAACTTATTTGCTTGTTATTTTTTATTTTTTTTTTTTTAATTTTTTTTTTCAACGTTTATTTATTTTTGGGACAGAGAGAGACAGAGCATGAACAGGGGAGGGGCAGAGAGAGAGAGAGGGAGACACAGAATCGGAAACAGGCTCCAGGCTCTGAGCCATCAGCTCAGAGCCCGACGCGGGGCTCGAACTCACGGACCGCGAGATCGTGACCTGGCTGAAGTCGGACGCTTAACCGACTGCGCCACCCAGGCGCCCCTTGCTTGTTATTTTTTAAATAGCATCTTCCATTTCCAGAGTCGAGAAAAGCCATCACTTAAAAAAACATAAAGAGGCATTATCTTTTAGAGATCTTAAAGATTAAATAATATGATGTCTGGAATTTCAAATCCAATGGGAGAAGGTTAACAGATGAAAAAGACTGGCCACGAGTTAATAAATGTTGAGCTTGGGTGATGAATATATGGAGACTACATTATGTTCTTTATTTTTGTATATATTTGAAAATTTTCACAGTGGAAATTTCGAAGAGTCATAATGCTCCTTTTTCATAATACCTGCCAGACTTGTTCTCTTTTAACTGTCACGGCCATCACTGATGCCAACTGAAAACGATATAACTAAGAAGAACACTACTGTCCTCTTACCCAGTTCTATGTGATCTTTCTTTAGCTCTCTGCAGTTTCCAATATGCTTCTTTGGCACCACAAGATAATGATGAGGTGCTGCTGGTTTGATATCTTTGAAGCAAACTAGGTCTTCATTCTGAAGGAGAAAACATCGTTTGTTAGTGGATTTTTTTTTTTTTTTTTTTAAGAACTTCCTAATGCTGTTCTGGCATGTCTTGAATACCATAAATCTCAGTCTGATAGGGAAATAGTACTTACTTTACAACTAAGCCCACCTGGGCAATTTTGTGAATATGCATTTAGTCCACAAAGACACGCCTTACTGCCCTTCATGACATGCTCATTTATTCCAGAAAATGAGAAGATTTATATAAAGCTAATTTCAGGAAAAAAATTATCAATGAAGTTAATTAAAACTTCATTACCAACAATGATAGAGTTTTATTTTCATTAGATATTTCTCCATCTCTACCTACCTAAGGGTCTTTCACTCTTAATATGTACTTCTAAAGTTTGACTACAGAAACATAGCGAGATTGATAAATTCTTTTTCACTTGTACAATTTTTTACAAAATATATATTCCTCAATTATAACAAGAAAATCATCTAGCATCTACAGAGATTACCTTTTTAAACATTTTCCATAAACTGTATATAAATACATTTTTACTATATTTGCAACATTAAAAAACCTTTGAAATGCTAAAACAAACTCCAGTATATTGTACTAAGTGTCTGATCCATTATATCGGAAGGTAAATTAGCGCAATTACTGTGGAAAACAGCATGGAGTTTCCTCAAAACATTAAAAACAGAAATATCATATGGTCCACCAGTTCCACTACTGTGTATTTACCAAAAGAAAATGAAAACACTAATTCAAAAACATATACGCACCTCTGTGTTTAGTAGCGCATTATTTACAACAGCTAAGATATGCAGGCAACCCAGGAATCCATCAATAGATGAATGAATAAAGAAGATGATGTATACACACAATACATTCAGGCATTAAAAAAAGGACATTTTTGACAACATGGATGCACCCAGAGGGCGTTCTTATGCTAAGAACAAATTGGTGGTTGCTAGAAGAAAGGGGGGGGGGGCAAAATAGGTGAAGGAAATTAAGAGGTACAAAGTTCCAGTTATAAAATAAGTTATGGAGATGAAAAGTACAGCATAGGGAATATACTCAATAATATAATAATGTTATATGGTGACTACACTTACCATGGTGAGCACTGGGTAATGTATAGAATTATTGAATTATTATCTTGTACAGCTGAAATTGTCATTGTGTGTCAACTACATTTCAGTAATTTTTGTAAGTCAAAATTAAAATCACTATAAATCAGTATATCAACAAGTTTCCCTCAGAAAAATTCCCAGAATACACTGTTGCTCACTAGTTCTCTATTTCAAGATCAAAAATTCAATTTAATGAGGGCCTCATATCCTTACCAGTAATCTTGGTTTCAATGAGAACAATGGTGAAAGTCCATTGTACATATTATACCATGAACTTCCTTATCAGGAGCCATACTGCTCATCACCTAAGGTTCAGGGGACTGACAAGTCAACTTTTGATAAGACCACACTTCAGAAAATGAGACTTGTCTACTTTAGTCCTCAGGAGCGCCATGATTGAAATGGAAGGCAGCAAAAACAGGGTATTATGTGTCCCTTTCCTGTCTCAAAATTTCTATAAAATGCCCACAACATCATTTTATTAAAACAGTGTTTGGGGTGCCTGGGTGGCTGAGTTGGTTAAGCGTCTGACTCTTGATTTTGGCTCAGGTCATGACCTCACAGTTCATCAGTTCGAGCCCTGTGTTGGGCTCTGCACTGATAGCATGGAACCTGCTTGGGGTTCTCTGTCTCCCTCTCTCTCTGACACACCCCTGCTCACAATCTCTCTCTCTTTCAAAAATAAACATTTAAATAATAATACTAATAATGTTTAATTATTGACTTTGTTGCTGTCCTCACTTAACGTACCTTCAACCCAGATTTGCAAAAACGAATAGGCACAACAACATGAAAATCTTGAATATTATCCAGCTTTTAAGAGTAACTTGTCTATGTATCCCTTTGAATTAGCATTTTTGTATTCTTTGGATAAATACCTAGTAGTACAATTGCTGGATCACAGGGTAGTTCTTTCTCTTTTTAACTTTTTGAGGAAACTCCATACTGCTTTTCAGAGTGGCTGCACCAGTTTACATTCCCACCAACAGTGCAAGAGCACCCCAATGTCTATAGCAGCATTATCTACAATAGCCAAATTACAGAAACAGCCCAACGGTCCACTGACTGATAAATGGATAAAGAAGACGTAGGGCGTGTGTGTGTGTATGATATATATATTATATATATAATAGAATATTACTCAGCCAAATCTTGCCATTTGCAATGACGTGGATAGAGCTAGAAAGTATTATGCTAAGCAAAATAAGTCAGAGAAAGACAAATACCATATCCTTTCACTCATATGTGGAATTTAAGAAACAAAACAAATGAGTAAAGGGGTAAAAGGAAGAGAGAGGCAAACCAAGGAACACATTAACTATAGAGATCAAACTGATGGTTACCAGAGAGGAGGTGGGTGAGAGGATGGGTTAAATAGGTGATGGAGATTAAGGAGGGCACTAGCTGTGATGAGCACCGGGTGATGTATGGAAGTGCTGAATCACTATATTGCATACCTGAAATTAATATTACATGTATGCTAACTAACTGGAATTTAAATA